GACAAATTGGTATCTTTCCTAGCATATGCTTTTTATGACCTCTATTTCCCTGAAAGATGAAGGGGTGGGCGTGTCTTGCTGCAAAGGAGTGGCCTTGCAGTGATGGCTGAGCAGACAAGGCAGCCCACGGAAAGCGCACGAGGCCCCGGCTGCACTGCAGTCTGCGGGCGTCGCTTCCTGCCCGGCACCAGCCGGCTGCTTCCTTTGCTGAGCACCTGTGCACACCAAGTGAGAACAAAACAGCACAGCTCGTCCTTTGTTCCCCTCTGCACAGCTGAGAAAGCTTGCAGTTTTCAAAGGAAAATTTCCTAAACCATCACTGGAAAACAAACAATATGTGAACAAAGGGAAGAGCAAAAGCAGAAAAGCCATCTTCAAAGGTTTCTGATTGAGTCCTACAGAAGCTCATGCTCTCCCCGATGTGCATCTTCCTTAGCAACCTCACCTTCAAAGTCCCCCCACTTTGATTCTGTGCCTCTGTTCCCTGCCATCCTGTCCCTGCTGCCTCTTTCCTGGGGATGGAGTCTTGCTACAGAAGAGAGAAAGGATGGGAGATGAATGGGCAGTGTTGCAGCTGGGAAAATACGCCTTGCCTCTCGGAGCTGCCAGCTGAGGAGAAGGAAGCCATCAGAAGGGGTCGGGGCCCCCAGATGGGCCACTGTTTGGCAGTATGGCTGGGGCAAGGTGGCTAAAGAGCCCCAGCATCGGCATCCTTGGCCAGGGAGATGGAAATCGTTTGTTCCTGCTCGTGGGGACGTGAGGACAGAATGAGACAGCACCGGGGAGGCACCTGGCCCACAGTGAGCCGAACTCAGGGCCAAGGGTTCTTGTCATCAAAAAGGTGGCCTGGCCAGGCTTCCCGAGGGCCCCTGCCGAGAGGAAGCAGCTCCCGTGAACAGGCCTTGAGCACGCACAGTTCCAGGAATTCTCTGGCGCTGGCCCAAGGTGCTCGTGCATCAGTGGCCACTCAGGCCTCCCACAGACACGAGTGGAGCTCTGGCTCAGCAGCGCTCGGTTTCATGACTTCCTGGGGAACACGAGGCAGGAAGATGGGAGGAGAGAGGCGAAGGGAGACGTCCGAGACTGTACAGCAGGCCAGGCTCTGGGGATGTACTGGGTCAAGGCTGAAGAAATAAGGAGGAACCATGCAACAGACTTCACTTGGGAGCCTTAACAGTCAAAAGCCAAGCAACTCTGAGCATGTGCAGCCTCTTTCCGGAGAGGTGGCTGTGGCCTAGGACTCACTTTCTATTATGGAAACTTTCCCTTTCTCAACCCTGGTTAGGGCTTATGTGCCTTCCCTGGAACAAAAAGGAAAATAAAGACTATTCCAAGGGTGCAGAGCAGTGGTTTCGGGTTTCAACCACTTGAAAAGTTGAGGCCCCTGCCACTTTCATCCTACACACTGGACTGCAAACTCCAGGAGGGTAGAGCGAGGTATCCATGGCGTTCATATTCTGCAGCCGGCCCTGCACCTGACAGATGCTTAGCACACTGTCTGAGTGAACAAGGAGGAAGCTGAAACAGACAGCGGATAAAATTGCTGAGGTACGGGCTTCCCGATAAAGATGAGATATAACAAGATCACACTCCCTTTTCATCTCTAAATGCAACAAAAGTGGGCAAAAAATTAAAAGGAAGGAGAGAACCCTGTCTTCAATTAAGAATTCTGAATGCAAAGGGCTTCTGCTTGACAGTGGCATCGGGATGAGCTGGGATGGGCTCCTGGCTGCCTGCACCACATCGTCCTCCCTTCCCGGCAGCCATTTCCAGGCCATGTGCTTTGGTGGAACTGAGTGTGCCCTGCTCAGGTCGGTCAAGCCAATTCACTTGAGAGTTGTATGCATGATTTACAAAGTAGGCTCACAATGGCCACCTGCAGAGTTGGGGGTAGAGGAACGCAAGGGGACCATCTGCACTCTGGAGAAGAGCTGGGATGCAGTCCAAGGCTGAAGACCTGGTGCTCCCTGCAGCCCTGAGTGGGTCCTATCAGGGAGCTGAAGGCTCTGCACTGGAAGTCCATCCAAAGGCAATGGTGAGGACTGCAGCTCCTCCAAAATAGCAGAAGTGAGGCTTCCTCCTTCCCCTTTTTATTCCATCCAGGCTACAAGCCCCCTGGGGCCACCCACGCCCAGGGTGGGCTTCCCACCTCAGCCAGCACCGTGCTAAACCAATCGGCGATGCGCTTCTCGTTCAAGTTGATACCACAGTGAACTGTCACAGTAGAAATTAGGAAGGAGAAAGATACCTGATGCACCGAATTAAGGGCTAGGTGGCCAACTGCAAAAAGAGGAGGGGAGCGGTAACCCTATTATTGTGCATAGATTATATAATTATATACCGGCGAGAAGAAAGAGAGCCGAATGCACTGCTGGTAGGAAGGCAGCAGGCTGTAGTCACTGTGGGAAGTGAAGCGGCAGCTCAACACAAAAGTAGAGACAAATACTGTGACTCAGCAAGTCACCCTTCCGGGCAGATACTCGAAGGATTCGGGAGAGGGTGCTTTGTACACCCATATTCACAGCAGCAGTTTTATGATAGCATGGGAAGGGCGCAACCCAACTGTCCACGAACCGATGAGTGAATGAACAAAAGGTGAATGTCCCTATAATGGAGCACGAATGAACAAGTCCGTGCTGAAGAGAAACTAACAGGGTTGAGGGAGGCCGGGTGGTGAGGGCTTCAGGGGAGGCTTCCCGGGCAGGGTTGTGAGGAGGGTGCCTAGACCGAGGCTGAAGGATGGGGAGGCCCCTGAGAGGAGAGTTCCGGGAGGGGAGACTGAGCCGGCCCAGCGGGAGAGAGCCCGGTGCGTTCTAGGCATGGGAGAAACAGGCGGCGGGAGGCTGAGGAGGTGACAGGACCCGGACAGCGCCAGGCAGAGGACTTGGCTCTGAATGCAGCAGAAGGCCCCTGAAGGACTTTCAAATCAGGGAAGTAGTTCACGTTCAAGCTACATCTCACATGTCTTCCTGGCTCCTCCATGAAGGATGAATCAAAAGAAGACAAGGAGCCCAGTGTGGTGGCACAAGGCCATAACCCTAGTGTTTTGGGAAGCTGAGGCAGGAGCATCCCAAATTTAGACCCAGCCTGGGCAATTTAGTGACACAGTGAGACCCTGTCTCAGAATAAAAAATAAAATAAAAAAGGGCTGGGGATGTAGCCCAATGTGAGAGGCCTAGGTTGAGTCCTTAGTCCCAAAAAGAAGGGAAGCAAGGAAGGAAGGAAGGAAGGAAGGAAGGAAGGGACAGTGATCCAAAGACTTGCTGCAGTCTGGCCTGAGCCCATGGGGCTTTGTCCGGGGCACTCAGAGACAGGAGGCGGAGCAAAATGCCTGGCCATCCATGTATATGGGACATGGCATCAGTGCCGGGGGACCAGGAAGGGGCACATCCCAGACAGACCAGCCTGAGCTTCAGCAGCTGGCTGGGCGACATTATCAGTGACTGCATTTCACAGGGTGCATTTTGCAGGAATTGCTCATCTCTCAGCTTAAGGCAGTCGGCCATGGTGCAGGCAGACTTGGCCCAATGGACTACGTCTCTTCCTGCGCACGGCATCACCTAACTTCCCAAGCGCATGTTTGATGTTGGATCGAGATGTGTGTATGTACACCTGTCTTACAGCTTTGAGCTCTTCAACTCACAGGGCCTTATACTTATATTCTGCAGGGTTTTCTTTTGACCTCCTCACAATTTCATATGATGTTTCATATCAGCAGGGTCCACACGGCTACTTTCCAAGAATTCATCAGCGAGGGCGGTAGTAACTGCGGCACCTGTGCCAACTCTATCGTTGTGAAAACAAGGGTGACTCTTTCTTGTTTCCAGTTGTGGCTTTTTTACCTGCTGTCAGTAGAGTTGACGGAAGTGATCGACCAGTTTTGTTCTACAGCACAAGTCATTGTTAATCTTGAGCCTGGCCTACCTTTCATATTCCTTTTCAAATTTTTGTTAACATGTTCAGTTTTTAACTAATGATCTAGTTCTAATTTTAGGGGAAAATTAGAATATAAAAGGAGAAAGCAATGGAAATTTTTCACTTATAAATATTAGAATGGAAACATCTCAGCCACCAAATGTGTAGAAATGTGTCATCATATCATAGGCAAAAATATTGAAATTATATTGAAACAGCCGGTAATGTTACCCTCAGTTACTGTGAGGAAGGAGTAATACGTCCCTGGAGGCTTCCCTGGGGGACCACTCTGGCACATGAGGTGCCCTGGCACTGGGTAGGCCAGGCAACTACACCATGCTGCCTGTCTGGACACCCACAGCTTCACTTAGAACAAGGTCGGTGCAGAACTTCACTGTCTGATCACTGATTTCCAGGCTGAATTTTAAATACAGTAGTTGGGAGAAACCAATCTGAAAAGCCTTTTAACAAAGTCTGCAACTGGTAGCCAGAATCATGGCACTGGTGGTTGACAGTATATTAAAGTATACTCTTTTCTGGGTCTTTTCAAACAGTTAAAAACATTTTTTCCTAAATTAAATTGGAAGAGAAGTTTTGCGGAACCACTGAAGCCCAAATGTCCCGAGATCATGGTTCAAAAACTACAGAAGCAGAGCACGGCTGGAAGCAGTGTGGGTGCAAACAGGGGAGGGAGAGGGGCTGGTCCTCCCCAGCCATCCTTTCCTCCTGCCAGGGCTTTAGAAATAGCACCAAAGAACTTCCGTAACTGCTGTGTGACCCCAAGGGAAAGCAGGGTCTCTGCCGCACTAGCCGGATGGCCCTGGGGCAAATAGCCAAGGCGAGTGGAGTCTCCTCATCGGCTGACACACAGCCCACGGGACGGTTCAGAGTGATACGTGTGTAAACGTGTGCGATAGATCTGGCACACTGCCTGACTCACAGTGATCAAGTATCCAGGACGTGGTGGCATAGCAGTGAAGCAATCAGCAAGAGCTTATTTGATGTCTACCATATGCAAATCTCAGTGGGTGTTTAGAGCTATAAGCAATAAAGGAAGTGCCGCGCCCTCCCTCAGGGACTTCGCATCAACAGTGGGTGGAGAAGGGGACAATGGGGTCACAGACCCAGGGCCAGGCACTGTGCTGGGCTCCAACGATGGCTTCTCTGAGAGAACCAAGTGCCTGAGCCTCTCCTCAGGTAAGCTGGTTGCACCTCCATCTGCTCTCTCCCCTCTGCTCCCCCCCTCTGAGCGCCTGGAGGTGCTGTTCCCAGCAGCGGGGAGCTGATTGAGGGGAGCCACCTGCAAATTCAAGGGGAATATCTGGTAGCTCTGTGTGTAAACAGGAGATGGCAGACCACAGGCCTATGAACCCAGCTCCGGCATTGGGTGCTATTTCCAAACAAGAGGCCGTGGGTCAGTGACCGGGACAGGAGGCCCGGGCCCTCATCCTAGACATGCAAGCAAAAACCACTCCCAGGGCAGGGACGGGTCCTGAAACGGAGCAACCCTGCTGACAGACTCAGGTTCTCCAGTTTTTACAGTGTTTCTGGTTCAATTAAAGCACAGGGTGGTTTTCTTAAGCATATTTTATTTTTGATTCTGAAACAGAGCCTTTTCCCAGTGATAATTAAGTGGCACTTTCAAAAAATTGTTTGAACATAAACTTACTTTTTAAAAGCTATAAAAATTGTGTGTGAGAGAGAGACAGAGAGAGAGACAGAGACAGAGAGAGAGAGACAGAGACAGAGACAGAGAGAGACAGAGACAGATGGTGGGGGAGAGGAAAACACTGTGGAAAAATAAGCATTTTGTTTAACCCAATGCAAGAAAACATAAAATCCGTGAATTCTGAACTTGCTGTTCACACTTTTGCCACAGCCATCAGCACCCTAGGTCCCTTCCTTCGGCACAGCATTTATGAAAGATGTTCAAATCTTCCACATATACCTGGGATAGGAAAAATGCATCATTGTCTGAATTTTTTCAGTCAGGAAACACACATTAAATGCCAAAGATTACAAGCCCAGGAAACGTCCCATCTGGGTCCAGCTCCTGGGTCAGCGGGGTGTGGTTCTGCCCTGTCCTCGGAGAGGGTGGGTGTCACCCCAGGTCAGCCTGTTGACATCTCACTGATTGCTTGCATGTGTGCCTCACCCTACCTCCAGGAAGAAAAAACCCCAAGGAAACCATGCCAAAGGGTGAGGACAGGGAACAAAAGAACAGAGTGACTCTGCAAGCAGAACAAACCGACGGCCTTGATTCATCGCCGCCACACACCTAGGTGCTGCTGCTGTTTCTTTAGAGCCCTGCCGCAGCCAGGCTCGGGATTCCTGATGTTGCCCCATCTTCGGGTTGAGCTCAGCATCATCACTATGCCCGGTGCAGGCCTCTGCCAGCACCCACACTCACTGTGAACGCCAGGGAGCCCGGCCACTGCAGGCAGGGCTCCTGCCCTCCTCCCCGGGGCTGTGCTCCCCTGTCCTTGCCCTGCCGGCCTGCCTGCTGCTGGCTCTTCTCAGGGGGCCACGCTGGTTTCTCAAGGCAAAGGGTGATTCTGTGTGACTCGTGTCCAGGGGGCAGTGAAGCAAAGGACAAGCAAATAAAGCAAGCAGAGAGCTGGGTGGACTGTACCTGCAGGAGGAGAGTCTGATTCGCTGCCCTCTACGGCAGAGAAGACCCCAGCCTCTAGTGAGGGGCGCAGCACTTCGTCCCAGTGCCTCTGCTGCTTCCAGGGTCTGGGAGGGGAGAGGAACTGAGTGAAGGCCTGGCACAGCCCTCCCAGAATCTGGACCGAACCCCTTGTCTAGGATGACTCCTGCCCAACTGAGTTGGGACCCTTCATCCTCTTCCCCCTCCCTGGGAGAGACAGTACAGCGGTCCTGTGATCTGCCTGTGTTTCCTGGTCTCCATCAGCCCAGTCTGAAAATGCTAACGGGACCGTTCCCTAGATGAACAATTCCTGCTTGAAGCTTCACACTGTTCCCAGCGTTGGGGGGACCTTGCACACCTCCTGCTCACAGCCTGCTCCATGGCCTTGCCTGGTGTACGCGCTGTCCAGGTGGTCACTAACACCATCTTGATTATCAGGCAGACTGTCGTGGTATGGCAGTACTGTGTTCAAATAACACCTAGTAGTGTCACATCTGGGGGACAAGCACCATTGCTCTGGTGTCTGAGCAGCCCACCGGGATCGTAACTCAGCCTTAACAATAAACTGGACAAAGTTTAACAAAAGGAAGACACTTCATTTGTAAAGAGGAAAAGCAGAGAGAAAGGAGCAGGTAGACAGCTCCCCTGATGAGAAAGAACCAGCATAGGGGCTCAGAAAGATGGAGGACCGGGCCCTTTGTTCCCAGCTGCTTTTATGGGGATGAGTGACTCTTCCCATGTGGCGTAACTGGACTGGCTTCCGGGCACTGCTGTCTAACATTATTTCCCCCGTGATCTCTGTGCGGCTTCCTTCTGTTTCCTTGTCCTTGAGCTTCCTTCTCAGGCCTTATCTTTGGGGTGGGCGGTAGTTGCCAAGGGGGTGCCTTATTCTTGATTCACTTAAGTGGGCTTGTGGATGTCTATTGTACTCTGTAATGACCCTAGAGTGAATAATACAGTGACCCTAGAGTGAGTACACATGTATGTGAGTGTGTACATCAGTGCATAGGTGTGAGCGCACACGACCTTAAGGTCAGTCAGCCCCTCTTTGCTTCCCGACCATCTATTGGAGGGGGGCGGCTTATCATTTGAGACCTGGCTTCTCTCTCTGTCCTGCTGTCAGCTCTGTTTCTGGTCTCCTAGTGCAGGTCCCAAGGCCATTTGGTTCGTTTCTTTGTCTGTTATTTTTTTCCTCCTGTCTTTGTCTTGTTTCTCAGGGGAATCTCTCTAGTAAAGTTGCTTTTAACTCCTTCTAGTAGGAATTACCTAGAAGACCTAAGGAGGCCCTTGCTTTATTTTCTTGTCTACAAACCTCCGTGTCTACATCAGCGGCCCCAGAGGACAGGAGCAATGACACTGGCTGTTTGGAAATGCCAATGCGAAGCTGAGAAGAGCATCCTTAAGCAAAATACTGAAATCCTTGATTTAATCAGGAGAGAAAAAAGCCACATGCTGAGGTTGCTAAGATCTGTGGTAAGAGCAAATCTTCTATCTATGAAATTGTGAGGAAGGAAGAACTATCCTTGTATTTTCCGTGGTTGCTGTTAGTATTCATTATTAATTGTAGTTGTTAATCCCACTCTATCACGGTTAGGCGTGTATAGGGGAACCGGACTCAGCACTACTTGCGGGCTCAGGCATCCCCCGAGGGTCTGGGGTGGGAGGAGCCAGGCTCACCCAGCCCGAGTCCTGCCTCCTCACACGAGGGCAAGGGCGGCTGTGCTCTGGGGGCTGCAGGGCAGGGAGCCTGGGAGCTCCGTCCCTCTCACCCACCATCGAAGTCATTCCTCCCACTTGGCTTGGGTTTCATTCCTGGATTTCTTCCTCTGTCCTCCCTGATGCTACTGAGTTGCTTTCTTCTTATGGCTCCTCCTTTAAATTTTTTTAAAAAGCTACAGTAAAAACAAAAAAGAACATAAAATTTACTGTCACAACCACTTTTAATGCACAGCTCACAGTGTTAGGAATATTTGTGTTGCTGAACAGTGGCTTTAGGACCCTTCTTTCGAGGCACAAATGTCCCGGAGGGAGAGGGCAAGCTCAGTCCTCAACATGGATGGCGGGGTGTTGGGGCCTTCAGCAGGACAGACAGCGGGGTGGTAGCAGCAGGGGACCCCAGCACAAGCAGGGGTCTGGGAGGGAGGGAAGCAGAGGCAGGAGGAGTTATCTCAGCCCAGAACCACATCATTTAAGTGCCTGTCCCACCCTCCAATCAAAGATGGAGGGGAAATGGTACGAGGAAGCAACACTGCTTTCACTGGTTACGGGGGACTAATACTTAAAATACAAGGGTAAAATCTACTATGGAGAAAGGTGTGTAAACAAAAATAAACCGAGAGACGCGCTTTTAAAATTTTTAACCTTTTCATAAAGTATGTCATAAAGTTCATTAGTAGTTTCTAGGAGTACAATTCTCTTATTAAAATAGCCCAAAATATAAAACCTTAGAAATATGAAATTCAAAACAGTGCTAGTCAGCTTTCCCTTCCTGCGACAAAATACTTGAGATTATCAACTTAAAAGAGGAAAGGTTTGTTTGGCTCACGGTTTGGGTCCATGGCTGGAGGGCCTGTGGGTTTTGGGCATGTGAGGAGGCAGCTCACTGTGGCAGAAGCAGTGACAGAGGAGGTCACAGCAGCCAGGAGGAGGAGGCGGGGAAAGAGAGAGGACAGGAGAGAGGCACCCCGCAGTGCCCACCTGCCTTCCACTGGGCACCAGCCCCTGAAAGCTCAAGTGTCCCCCATTCCCCCAGTGCCTTGGGGTGGGTCCAAGCCTCCAGCACAGGGATCTTTGAGGAATGTTCCAGATCCCAACTAAATCCAAAGCAGTGGTTCCTTAATGTGTCTCAGCCACCATGGCTAGAAATGATATAGGCCTGAAACAACGTCTTGCTTCTTAAGACATTGTGGTCCAATACATATGCATAACCTAGTGCTTACCACCTTAACCATTTCTGAGCGTGTGGCGTTGAGCACAGGAACACCATGGGGCGGCTGTTGCCACCATCCAGCTTCGGAACTTTGTTGTTTTTCCAGACGGAATTCTCTAAACCCATCAAACAGAGCCCGCCCCCCAACCCTGACAACCACCACCCCCTTCTTTCTGTGACTCTAACTGCTCTAGGTACCTCCCAGGTGGAGTGGAGTCATACAGCGTTTGTCTGTTTGTGACTGTCTTATTCCACTTAGGGAGATGTCCTCAAGCTGCCTTCATACTTGGGCTGGGGTCAGAACGTTTTCCATTTCCGGCTGCCTAATTTACATCCCACTGTGTTCTAATGCACCACAGGCTTGCTGCAGCTGGATCCCTGTGGTGTCTTTCCTTTGGCTGTAGTGAATGAAGTGGCTGCAACTGTGGTGTGCACAGACAGAGCCTTGCTTTTTAAACTATATTGCCCTGGCCAGATTATGATTTATCTTTCTTCAGAAACTTTTTACCTGTCTTGTCAGCACCCTTGGAGTCATAGTTAGGTTTTCGTGGATCATTTGCTTATTTGTTCTGGGCTTTCTGTTTGTATTTGCCTCACTGGGTTGAACCCAGGGTTTGGGGTGTGCTAAACAAATGCTCTACCCCTCAGCCACATCGCCAGCCCTCACAGATTCTCACTGCACGGAATCCTCGTGAACATAATTGAGAGTATTCCTTCCACCTTTCTGGAAGGTAGGATGGGAGCTCTCTTAGACTGGCATTGTCTGATCCAGAAGGTATTGAAGAGGTCAAATCAAAACTGTGACTTTGTCAGGGATCAAAATCTCGATGGACAACGAGTGAAGGCAGTGTGGTGTGTAAATGAAAAAAAAGCTGTAAGAGGTTGAGCCTGGGGCCGACGAGAACATGCACTTGGGTTTGCAGGTCTGGATATGAGTTTGAAAGCCTGGATAATCAAAGAGCTGCTCAGACAAATGTAGGAAGGAAGGTGTACACGGGGAGGCTATCCACAGCCTGGAAACGGCAAAATGCACGGGAACTCACCACCCGCTAGAGGAAAACGAACAGGATATTTATGTGCTTATAAAAGGGTACTTAGGTATTTTAGAAAACATAAAATATCCATCAAAGTATATATAAACTACGGTGATTCGGGAGTTGGCACCGTTTTTGCTTGTAGTAATAAAAGAAAAGTTTATTAACTCAACATTTATCCGATAACAGTAAAACAGCAGGTCGGTTTTGAGTACTGGGTAAAGACCGGCTGGAATTTGATGTCAGGATTTAAGTCCCGCCCAGGAAGCTCCTCATCTTCCCCGAATCTGTTTCTTTCACTGTAAAACAGGGAGAAGCATTTTTAGAAACAGCACAAGACTCACGGGAACTGAACAACTCATGTGATTCCTAAATCACAGGGCTGCGGCAGGCACTGCGGGCTGGGGACCATCACGGGGGTGCGAACAGGCAGTCACCCCCACCTGCTGCTCTCTAGAAGCTCGGTTTGTGTTTTCTCTGGGACAGCCAGGGGCTTGAGAGCTGCTCTTGCTGTGCGCCCTGACTCTATGTGGGGCTGCAGATGACCAGCGGGCAACCGGAAGCAGAGCGAAGCTTGGCCTTCGTTTGTGTCCTTTGTTACCGGAAACCTGGGGTCGCGTCTCCTGTTGGCTTTGCGTGGCGCTTGATGACCCTTCAGGGACCGCCTGTCTAGGAGTTGGCACAAGGCTGGGCCCTGAATGTACACAATTTCACCCTTCAGGACGAGGACACCAGGATGGGATCTCCGCCCGGAAGTCTCCAGCCGCCCGTCCGCACGGTTAGGGCCTGGATCCCAGGAGAGGCGGAGCCCACCTGCCCGGGCCTCCGCAGACCGGATCGGACCAGCCTTTCCCGGGATGAGACAGCCCGCAGCCCGGAGCGCCCGAGCCCCGACACCAGGACTGAGGCGCGGACGAGTGGATCCCGCCCGCCCGCTGGTCGTGAAGCGGCGTCGGCCTCTGCGGTGGGCGAGTCTGAGCCCTTGCAGCAGAGCGCGCCCAGCTGCCTGAGCCGGAGACTTCATGGCTCCCTACCTCCCCACGAGAGCGTTTTCCTCTAAATCCGTGCTTCAGTTTCAATTTCCATCTCTACTAAAGCAAGGACCCAAACTAGCCAGTGGCATTTCTTCCCTCCCAACTGTCCTTGGAAATTGATCAACAGATTTCACAGGCCAGAGGGGAGTGTCACCACGCCACCAGCTCTGCAGCAGGGCCACTCTGCTGGAGTCAAACTACTTCCATTTTCAGTAAGAACAAAGACTCCTTTTGCTCAACACTTAGAGGCACGCATGGCTTCAGAAGAGACTGGGTACTGGGACCCTGCCGGCCAGCGCCGCATGACTGCTATGTGGGCCGCGCCTGCCTCAGCAGTTGGGCCGCCGGTTTCACCTCCGAGGTCCTGTGCTCCATGGTGAGTCAGCATAACCAGGCCCTGCACACCGTGCAGTGATTAGTTTTTTCCTCTGGTTCTTTGGCATTCGGTCTTTTCCCAAAAAACACATGTCTGTAGGGCACGTTATTGTCCCAGCTGCCCTGCAATCAACAGTTTCTGCTGCAATCAGCACTTTGCTTTTTCTCCTCCTTGTAGTTCTGCATGTGGTGTATACAGTGAGGGAAGGGATGCTTGCTGTTTGGAAATACTTTGGTCAGCTCCCTTCTCTTCCTTTCTTTGTGTAACTGTCTGGAGCCGCGCTGTTTACCAGTGGTAAGCCACGGAACGTGGGCCTTGCTTGGGGATGGGGACTGGAGAAGAATGCAGAATGTAGTGGTGGTTAGCACATCAAACCGGGACAGGAATCCCAAATCCTAAACCCTAACTCATGTCTCACCCTGAACTGCTTACTAAGAGCAGACAGCAGCTCGGAGCAGGCTGTCCTTGGGGCACTGCAGTCCCAGGAATGACAGTGTTTGAATAGAATCCACAGAATCAGGTGAATTATTCATTAATCATATCACTTGCTGGTCGGTAAAGCAACAGGCAGAATGCAGTGGATGGACTGGGGACAGGTCCCATGGCTCTCCTGCAATCCTCCTGGAAAGGCAGACATTGAACATCCAATTCCAGATGTGATGGGCATCTCAACAGGCCAAGGTGAGATGGTGCTGCCGGAACACAGTTCCAGGCTTAAAAGTCCAAAGGATGCTTCTGGTGGTCTCACAGGATCACACAAACAGGGAAGTAGTCTGCTCCTCTGAATGGGACCAACAGTGAGCGCTTGCTGGAGTCTCCCGGAAACCCGAGCAGAGCCTTGGCTGGGAACTCCAGGTGGCACACAGCCGGGTCCTGGGCCAGCGCAGGACAGGGGCACCCCACCACCAGAGGAGGGCCCATCCTTTGGGGTCCTCTGGGCTTCCCACGATGGGCAAGCCCAGAGCCTCAACTGCAACCTGCACCTTCCTGGCCAGGGAGCCCTGGGCTTCCTCCGCAGTAGGTGGTTGGCTCACAGGGAAGTGCAGTTATCAGGTGCACCATTAGCATATCTTTCAGAACAATTGCTTTTATCAGCTTGGCTTTCTTGTTCCAGAATGCAGTCCTTGGCAGGAAGTACTGGTCTATTGACTTTTCAAGTAGGATAAACAAACCTCCTTTGACACACGGAACCACAGAAGCAGAAACTGGGGCTTCCTCTCCACCTCCCGGGCAGGCAGTGGAAGTCTGGGGAGGCAAAGGGCTGGCTTCTGGCAGATTCAGAGCAAAAGTCATGGTGGGACTGGCAGCTCCCGCCCTTATAGGCAAGAGGCAGTGAGTCTTGCTGGCTGTCATCCGGGAGGAGGAGATTGAGGGAGAACACCACAGAGGAAAGGGGAGGCCTGCTTTCCAGGAGAGTTTGTTTGGCGAACCAGGATGCCCAAATGGGCTGCTTTGCTACAGGTGTGAGCTGCACCTTGTCCCATCCTCTCTGTAAAGGACTGTCAGTGAGCTGGAAAGACAGAGGAGAAGCATTTTGACAGTTGTGTGATGATATGTAACCCAAACAGCGGCTTTCATCTTTCTTCTACCACCTTTTCAAACCTGATCGATGAGACTTAAAGGTCAGGTTTCTGCTCCTGGATGAAAAACCAGGTCACCTCTACAAATTTCTGGTCACTGCTTTGTAACAGAAAATCTTACCGACACCTTAAGATATACAGGCAAAGTTGATATGAAATCTCAACAGTCAGGCCAGAGATGGACAGAACTCCAGGCTGGTGCTGCGGGAATCCTCTGTCCTTGCCCTAGTGACTTCCTGTGATGGCGGGGTGGGTCGGAGGCACCCCACTGCTCGCCCTGCTTCTGACCCAGCCGTGACTGCAGGGTGTGGGAAAGGAAGAGAGCTGCAGGGCCAGAGCGTTTCTACCTGATTGGTGCTGCTATGAGAAGGCTTCAAGGTCCCCAGACCTGTGTATGTTTACAGTGGGTTCTCCAGGAGCATTTTAGGGGTTCACTTGGGGTGGGTGGGGTGAGGGTGCTGAAAATTTGCTTATTCTTTCCAAAACGAAGATGATCGGTTTCCTCTGAATAACTGAGGCATACGACTCAGTAATTAGGGTAGTTCTGGGCTGTGGGAGAAACTGACACAAGGAGAGCAAAGAGTGTGCTATTCCCCGTGTGGGAGGTAAATCAGCAGTGTTCACCTCTGCCTCCTGCACTGTGACCCGGCCGGGTTTCTGCAATGTCCTCCTCCGCCTTACTGACCCTGGACATCCTGTCCTCTGAAGCCATGTCCCAGGGGGAAATGTGCCCCAACCTTGTCCCCAGGGCCCTGGGGAGGGAAGAGAATCTTTATCCTACTAAAGCAAGGAGCAGCACTGCTGGTCCCACACTCCTGGACTCAAGGGGCATTTTTCCATCGAAATCGAGTGCAATTTGGGAAATGGGAGAATATTTACACAGCACAGGATTCGGGGAATTGTAAGAGTCATGAGTGAAAATACCCTACACACAGCCACGTTGCAATGCACACCTTTACATGAGCTTACTGCAGCAAGCAGGGGAGGGTAAAAGGGAAGCGCATTTACAGTGGTGAAGACAAATCATCTATCAGCACTCAAAATCAAGTGCTTGGTGAAGTAGTCAGGGTGCTACGTGTTAATCTGAAACAATCACCGCTTGTAGCTCTGCTTTGGTGAGGTCCGGTGCGTTATGGGCTCCGGACAAATTTGGACTAAAACCAGGCAGTTGTGAAAAACAGGGAGACAGGGAGCTGGGGAGAGTTGCTATCATCAAACACTTGGGTAAAATAACCTGTTAGGGATTCCAGGAATTTTAACTTGTTTTTTAAGAGATGATTAATTTTGAACTTTTTGTTACAAACTTTCCAGGTTTTTCTGCTCCGAGACTCAAGGAAATGGGACATAGGAATAGCAAATAGACTGCGTCACGCTCAGCTCAGCTGTATGCCTGGACTCCAGATGAACAAATGCCCAAAGAACCTTCGAGAGGGTTGATTCCACCACAGTGGCCCGGAGTAACTCGGGACGCACTGCTTTCAGGCTCACTCTGGAGCAGGCTCAGAAAGACTGGCTTCCCGCTGGCCCAGCTGCAGCAGGGAGGCCCAGCCCTCTACAGCTGCTTCCCAGTGCCTCATGGTAAGGAGACAGGGATGGCGCCCTGTGCCAGTGACAGACAATGCACGGCCACAGTCTGCTGCCACTAGGCGGGGGTCCTTGGCTCATCCCTGCTGGAGACCAGCTGTGTGCACCCCAGGTCCAGAGACGGGACGTGGCCTTGCTTCCCTTTTGGTGCTAGGCTGTGCAAACTGGGAAAGCTGTCTGCATTAATCTTGAGTAGAGAAGGCAAATCCTCAAAGACCTGGTTTTGCCTGATGCTTAGCTGTGTTTGTCCGGGAACTTTTCTCCCACGGTTCATTAATCACATTACCCATCTGAATATCGGGCGGTTCTCTGTGTGTCGTGCAGGTCTTCTCTGGAATAGGAACCCCTTGTCTACCTTTCTCCTCGTCCAACCGCTTCCTGACTTTTCGTCTTGCTCGTATTCTGAAATGAAACCCTTCTGAAAGAAACACTTTCTTTCAGCAGCACTCCTGAAATTCACCTAGAAAGTCTTGTCCAACAAAGTTTTTTGGCCACTGGAATCGCAACACTTACTTGGAGTTGGATTTAATGATTCAAAAGTGAGCTGTCTTTCTTTCACACTGGACTTGCAGACTCAGTCACCTGGCACCCATGGGTGGGCGCCCTCTGTCTACACTGCACACCCTTGCCCTTAAGCTGAGTAGTTTTCTGATACCTGTTCTCTGTACCTATAATGGCAGCTCTGCAGAACTGAAGGGATGTTGAGGGTCCAGAGCCTCTGCGCCCTCTCTGCCTTGCTTGGCTGGTGTCCTGGCTGCTCCACAGCTAGCACAGTATTCTGCCCTGAGGACCCAAGGGAGCGGGAGCTGTAGAGCGGAGCACTGGTTATGCTGCTCCTCAAGTTTTCCAGGCCGGGGGTGGGGGTGGGGCTCCCTTACAAGGATCCTCAGCTCCCGGACACTGGTGTCTTCTGGAGATCCAGATCATTCTGATTCTTCCCAGTTTCGGTTCAGCTTTCCAGCATTTCATCTGGGAAGAGTTTGTACTCAACTTGCTCAGCAAGAACTTTAACCATTTTGTAAAAATCTCGATAGTTGTTCTCAGGAGCAAGTCATCGCAGTGATTTTTCTCTTCTGTCTTCTTGGCTAACCACATGCACGTGGTCACAAACATCCTTCCAGGGAACTGACCGCAGATCACTTCTCATGGTCACTAATGCTCTGAAGAGAAGTCCTCTGCTTCCTTCAGCTTCTTTGGCTTTCTGTCCACCTGGGCCAACCTCCGTGGGGAAGAAGTAAGACCAAAGATGGCAGCAGCAGCTTGCTCTCTGCCACCTTCCCCTCATGGCTTCCTTCCCAAGCACAGCTCGCCCTAAGCCACGCCCATGGCCCCTGCCTGCTCCCTGATCAACAATTCCGAGGAAGGGCAGACTCCTTCACATTGCTACTTGCTTGCTGTCGTGCACCAAAATAGTAATTCCTCTTCCTCCTCCTTCAAACACACGCTTGCCTGGTGACTTTCACAAAAGAAAGAAAACATGCTCACTTCCTGGGCTTCTGCCAGATTTCCCTCCATTTCAAAGGGACTCGTTCTCCACAGCTTCGAGGCTCAGCTGGCCCACCCCAGGGTGCAGCCTCAGCTGCGCTTGACATTTCCTCCAGACCTGCATGGCCCCACAGGTGACCTCGTGGGCTGAGAGATGAGTGTTCCATTATTTGCTTCCTGTTTTCTTGGCGGCTTGGGCTGGAGGGGACTGGGAGCCACCGTGAGAGCTGCTGAGGACAGAAGTCCGCTCATGTCCACCACCAACAGCTCCACAGAGGTCTAGGGCACTCCGCCGCCCTCCAGAACTGTGTTGAAATATGACAGAGAACTTCAGCTTCCTGTCTCAACTTCCTCTCCCCCAGAATTCTCATTCAGGAGCCTCAAGCCTGTGGACCGACATTCCCGAGTAACCAGCACCAGTCTGTCCCTTGTAGAGATCTTTCTTTCCCAGATCTTTCTTTCCCAGGTACAGCGCCATGGACTAAAGGCTGAGTTTGTCATCATCAGACTGTCCTGGACCAGCCCTGTGAATCCAGCGGTGGTTGCAGTATGATCTTGGGTACAGACTGGCCTCTGGGAACCCAGGCTTCTTCACCCGGGACCTGATTTCTACTTCCAGGTTTCTTCTGAATTAAAAAGAATCCATGCAAAATTTCTTGTGCCGTGCTTGCTACGAAATAAAGCGTTGATGCATTCTTGGTGTGCTTACTGTTAAAAGCATATGCTGCGGGTTCAGGGGGCCCCCAGCAGTCCCATGTCAGAGGCCTGGTCCTTGGGCGCTGAGGTGGGAGAGGAAGTTACCGGAAGGGGTTGCTGTTTCCCGTGGGATCCCGGCTGGTTCCCACGAGTGAGCTGTTTCCGAGGGATGAGCCTGACCCTCGCTTGAGCTCTGCTTCCTGTCTCCCTGTGTGATCTCTCTCTCCCTTGGCCTCACCAGAGGCTGATCCTGCCCAACCCTGAACTTCCAAGCTGCAGAATGGTGAGCTAAATAAACCCAGTTCCTTATAGAACCAAGGCCCAGGTATTGTCATAGTTATAAAATGGACTGAGAAGTCTGTTTTCCGTGCTCTGTGAAACTGCATGAGTCAGATCACCAGAGGAACACACTATAGCTACCAAACGATGGATGAGATTGATCGAGTTTTTCAGAACACTCACAGTAGCTTGGAAAATGTACCTTTAAAAACTGCTATTAAAATCAAGAGACTGTGAAAGAAAATGAATGCGGTCACACCTTGTTGGCCCTTGGATGTATCATAGATTTGCACTGGGTGCCTGATATGCTAAGTAGAGTATAAACTTTTAGGCTATAGAGTTAAGGAGTAAGGCATCATTCAAACTCACAAACAAGAAAATATATGAAAAATACCAATAAAATCCCAGCATTCTCAGTCCCCAGTACTCAGTACTGTAGCTATGAAAAGCAGGACTTATCTTTGGTCTCTAGCCCCAAGCTTATGTACAATTTCTTTATTTTTTTTCTTTAATCTTTATTAGTACAGACTTGTAGTACATAGTGATTACACTCATTACAGGAGTTAGTGCGTGCACATAATATATCTTCATTTTTTATGTTGAAAAAGCCGGTCATAGGTTTTTATTGAGCCTACCTCCCTACTGTGTGCTCTGTCCTAAGTTCTGGGGTTCAGTGGGGAACCCAGCAGATGTTTCTAGGGCTGACATTCCACCGAGGCTTCTGCTCAGTGATTTCAAATAAATCCCACTTCCTGGCCCTTGTTCCCAGGTGTTTTGATTCAGCTGTTGGTCGTGGCTGAAGTCTTCAGGTGAGGGCTCCCTGCAGTCAGGACCATGTGGGAGTCGCTGGGGGCAGCCCGTATGGGTCAGTGCAGGACGGTGGATTCTACCGAGGGGATGGCAGACAGGAGAGGGTTTGGAGCAGTCTCATGATCTTATCCGTGTCCTGCTGGACGTGTGCAGGCTGGAACAGAGGCTGGGGAGAGACAGAAACAGAGGAACAGGAGGGAGAACAATTCACTGAGCTACAATGTTAAATTGTAACCGACAATTATGGAAAGTTTTTGAATATTTTAATATTCAATTGAACATTGGTCTTTCAGTGACCAAGAGTGAACTGTAAAATGGAAAAGGGAAAAGTCACAGTGGAGTACAGTAGCCAGGAAAAGATTTTTGGAGGATGTGCATCTTTGAGGTGAAGTTTGCGGAATAGGTGGGATTTCCCTAATCCACAGGAAGGACTCCCTAACCCTACATGGACAGCTCTGCAGAGGGAGTCGGACCGTCCTCATGGTGGGAACCTGCCTGGGGGGCTGTGAGGGATGCACTTGGTGTACACAGTGACCAACCTGTAATAAAAGTTCAGTACGTGGGCGTGGACTGTTGAAAGGCACACGTGGCTAAGGTGTGCGTGTACTTAGGAGAGGGAGACCCAACAGTTAACTCCCATGTGTAGCTCAAGTCAGGTTCTCTCAGCAGTTTTGTAGGCCAGGACAGGAAGGAGGTCTTGAGCCTAACAGGCCTTGTCTGAAAACTCCTGCGCTCAGCCGGAACCCTGAGCCCAGACTGAGCCAGAGCCAGTCCACAGTGAAGCACAGCCAAGGTAGTGCCAGCACACCGGGCTGCTGGCTGGCGGCACACACTGCCCTGGATCCACAAGACATCAGCGGCACTGCTGCCTCTGTATTGGCTCGTGCTGTGGAATGGATTAAAACATTTGTACAGTCACCATGAGGAAAGCCACAGGCATCCCCTAAACGTAAGACACTGGATGGGGTTTCAGAAATTTTCTCATCCATGTACTGTTTTGGATCCGAATATAAGTTGCTGATGCACTAATCTGTCCCCTTGCAAACAGTGCCCTCTGGTTTTGACCGTGGTAGGCTCTCCAGGCTGCCAGGCCTGGAAACTTGAGGCTGCCTTGGACACTACAGCTGTGAAGAAGTCCTTGGTGATGGCTTTACTGGCTGCATTAGTGTAAGACAGGGAATTCTCCAACCTCCCGCAAATTCTGCTGTACTTCCTTAGTAGTTTATGCTTTTGTTACCAATTTAATAATTGTTTGCAATTATTTATTGGTGCAAGATCCCGAAATAAGTCTCATCCATTCTTCCTTTCCCTCTTAGAGAATCGATTCAGTGGTAGCAAATCATCTTCCTCTCCAAAGTAACCTTCCACGCGGAGGGATTTGATGCTGACTTCACCACAACCACCAGAAAGGAAAAGGTCTCTGACCACAGGACACGGCCCAAAGCCTGTGATCATGTGACACCCAATTTTAGATTGGATTCTTAAATTCTCCACTTTGGTCTAGATGTTCCTCTTACCCCAGGTTCAGGAGGAGGAACAATTTGTTGTGGGTTTGACTTTGCTTTCTGATTATAAGGCCCATAAGAAAGACAGGAAAATAAATGATAGAACTGATAAAGGGAAAATAATATGGAAGAGAACGATCACAAATATAATAAAGGAAGAGGAAGAGCACTGGGGTACACAGAGACCTTTAAGAAAGCTCTGAGTGACTTGTGGACATCTGTAAGCTCTGGAAGACCCTGAGCAGAAGTAGCCAAGGCTCCTTGCCCCTGTCGGACACCTGGATGCCCAGGGGAGTGGGAAACAGACACAGAACCTCCTGGAAGCAACAGCCACTGCCCAGGAAGCCGATCACTGTGCCTGTGCCTGTGCCTGTGTGTGCCCCTGCCTGGGACTCAACCGTGGCACCGCTGTCTGCTTGAGCCAGACTTGTCAGGGAAGGGTATCCTGGGTGCCTTCTCTGTCTCCTCTATTAGAACCCAGCTCCAGCCTCCATCTCCTGACCTCGACAACCAAGTGCCTGTAGACATCACCTGATTGCAATTGCCACCCATCCCGCTGCCAACTGAGGACAGTGGCCTACAGGATGGCTGGGGCAAGGGACAAGGGGACAGGTGCAGGAAGGGACTTGCATTATTCTCCTCCACGTCACCCTGTAAGGATGCCTGTGGCAGGTGGGGAGATGCAGGGAGTGATCTGACCGAGTTAACTGTGTCCTGCTATCAGCAGCTCCTGGTCCCCAGGCCCACCATCCCGACTGCGAATTCTTCCCTCGGTGGGGTGGCAGAGCCTGCTCCTGGAGCCCTGCTCCTCCAGATCAGATTCCTTGGCCTCCAACAATTGCCCCTTTGATCTGTCCTGGAGGGCAGGCGGCTGTCCTGTCCTGGCGTGAAAGGCTCCTTTGTTTCTCTGTGATCTCCCAAGGTGTACAGATTGCAACACCAGGTGTCGACAAGGAGCTCAGACAATGGGCGGACTCTTTAGCAAGCCTTTGAAGTGAGCACACCCACACCTCGGCCAACGCCTCTTCTTTCCCTTTCTCCTTCCCGTTTCTTCCCATCCTCTGGACCAGATGCCTGTGGGAGCTGGCGAAGCAGGGCAGGCTGAGAGCAGAAAGAGGAGACCTCGGGTGGGGCTGGGAGGCCTGGGCCCTGCCGCCCCCCTCACCTGCCCAAGCCCAGGGAAGCCGCGGTAGGAACCGCTCTTGGGTGAGAGCAGCCCTTGTGCTGTCCTGGGAGCCGGGCAGGTGTGGCGTGAGGTAGGGGCAGGTGGGCACTGGAAGGGCAGGCCTGTGTCGTCCCGGCCGTGCTGGCGGGGAGCAGCGCTTCTCCGTGCCAGCCTCCTCTGACCACGGGCGGGGAAGCTGATCTAAAATCTCCAGCCCCGTTCTTCTGTTCTTCTCCTCTCTGACTTCAGGGAGCCGCCCCTGCTCCACACCAGGTCCACCCCTTCCTGCTAGTCCCTCCCTGCAGGGATCCCCGGCTCTCTGTCACTCCCGGGGACAGAACAGCCCCGAGGAGTATGAACGTGCAAGGACACTACTCCCTGACCGCGCAGTAGGGAGCAAGTGGTCACTCACAGAGGGAAGACCGGAAGCTCAGGAGTTGCGCATGGGGAGAGCAGTATCTGCAAACTGACACCAGGACAGCTCTGAAACTGGGCAGAGCAGCAGGAGGACACCCTAGGCCTCCGACGTGCGTGGGGACATCTAGGCGGAGCCCTCAGCAGAAAGCTCTCCGGAAGCCACCTCTGAAGTATCTTCAAGTCTTTACCCCTGCTTTCTGAACACGCCCTTTCCTAACCCTACGCTGACTGTCCCCAGTGAGCCCCAAAGGAGGGGTGGCAACAAGGCTTCGGGTGGGTGACCTCGCTCTGTCATTCGGAAGGCCCCTGTCTCAACAGCGGCTTTCTGCCATCCAGGCATCCCCACCCGGGTCTGGCAGGTTCTGAGCACCCAAAGGTGCTGAGCCCGCCTTGTTCACACCCCACACGGGATGAACTTGGGGTCACGTGTGTCCCTGGCCCTTCTGTGTGCTCCTTGAGATCCCACCTTCATTCTGCAGCACTTCTAGGGGTGCATCTCCTGCTGGAGAACCCCTAATCCCCCGTCCTTTAAATAATATGGCCTCTCATTGTATAAGCAAACCTGAAGTTATCTGCCAGTCATCATGAATGATTTGGGGTCTGCAGTGGAGGCAGTTTTTTAAAATTTAAAAAGAAGCAAAACAGAAGAAAATCAAGTATAGTCCCCCTCCACTAGGCAAAGATAATGATTGCTAACACAATGTCTCTAGTGATCCAGTTTTGTTCCTGGCAAGTGTCTGATTTTTAAGAAAAGCTCTTTACTGTTTTCCATGAACAGTTTTCCTAGCTGATTAAACTTTACTGCCGACGGGA